TACGGTAAGAAATTGTTGACAGCCTAAATGTTGAATTTTTCCAAAACGTTTTAAAACATTGTCTCAAAATTTCATTAGAATCCGTATTTCCGATTTATATGTAGAGAAGTAAGAATAATCAAAGAGAGTACAAACAGGCTGATGGAAATGGGTGACATGGTATTCGAGATGTCCATGTCATATAACCTCCAAAAAACGTAGTACAAGGGCTGTCTCAAAAATAAGACTCCTAACGCTGTATTTTTGCTGCGCGTGACTCTAGGCGAAATCTGGCAGTACTGTCCTATTTGCGACGATATATAGGGAATCTGTAAAGCTAAGGCTTGTCACTAAGTTTGTAGCGCCATCCCTGGGATATACTCCGAACTTTTTATGGAACCTATACGAACTGTTATACAACCCTTCAAAAATATAGAACACCTAGCGCCATCTTTGGACTTCCCTCTTACACTGTGGAGCTAAATTTGAATTAAATCTTCAAATTATATGCACAAGATATCTTAAGTAAAATAAGGCTCAACCTAATATTATTTTCTAAATGTGTATTTGTTAATACATAAAAATAACAGTTATGCACGTTGTTAGCAATCTAAAAATAATCGGTATTACTGATGTACCATGTAAATTGACAATTACTTTCCTCCATGAGTTGCGGTACTACTCTGAACATTTTCCGAAACCATACCTAAAAACAATTGACTTTTATTATGTTCATGCTAGGTAAATTTCTCCAAGAAATGTGCAAGCCGTAGATACTGTGAAAGTTTTTAGGACACCAAAATGTTTGAATCATTTAATCCTGATCCTGATTATTCACTGATTACCCAGTGCATCTACCTGGTTTATACACGGTGCAAAGTTAGTAGTGGATCAACGAAAGTCAGGTGATAGAGGGCGCCAAAACTGATCGAACGAACCCCTATATGTGTGGTCTGAAATTTTATAGTTCAGGATATATTCGCAATTTTGTGAAATTTCTAACAAACGGGATAATGAACACTCAATCGCAATTACAACTAAACCATTAGGTTTAGAGCTGTGATTTTTTTCCGAGATGAGTTAGATGGTTAGTTTTAGCAATGGTTATATCACTTTTTAACAGAGCTTATTAAAAATCAACGCAAAAAATCTAAAATTCATTTTCTTGTGAAAAATCTCTTCCATCCCTCAACTTTGAAGGGCGGTAAAAAAATTGAAGTTGTATCTCATTATTCATTTTATTGTAAAAGCTATTTCAATCCATGTAAAATAAACTCTGAAAATTTCAGCTTGCTACATGAGTTTATCGTCACATTCGCTATTGTGATGCGATAAACGTAAGAAACGCAATAGAATCCTTACCACAATTACAGAACCTATTGTGTTTAGCCGCTCTCTATGGCGATTTACAGAAAAATGTGGAAAATAATTTGATTTGACTAACTTTTAAAGAACATGTCCGAAATGACCTCCATTATTTTCTATACACTAGCGACACCTTCTAATAAAGCTGTCCTTTAGTCTTTGAAATGAATTTGCGTTTTCCATAGGTTTTATTTTTTTTTCATCAATTTTCTGACGCAGTTGATTGACATTTGTATATTCAGATCTATAGAGTATCCCCTTATAAAAAAATCTAGAGGATTTAAATCGGGTGAACTTGGAGGCCATCGTATGTGCCTTTAACTATTCAACGCCCAGAAAAGGCAATGTCTAAGTAATGCCGTACATCCCGTGCAAAGTGGCATGGGGCGCCATCGCATTGGAAATACCTGCGGATTCGAACATCCAAAGGTACATCTTCTAGCAGCTCATGCAAACTGCTTTGTAGAAAAGCAAGATATGGCTAACCATTCAACCTGGCGGGCAATTCATATGGTCCAATTAATTTGTTGTTGAGTTCTTTAGCCCATAAATTAACGCCAAACTGACGTTGAAAGTTCTGTGGGTGAATAGCGTCTGGATTTTCCACACTCTAAGAATGAAAATTGCGCATGTTGAATATTCCATTTCGGTTAAAGTTGGATACATCTATCCATAAGATGCTGTCCAAAAAAGTTCCATCCTCTTCGCGCCTTCTCATCATATTCTCACAAAATTCAACCCGTTGTGCATAGTCGCTTGGAAGCAATTCTTGTACTTTTTGTACATGGTAAGGATGCATATTCTCCGCGCTGACGATGAGTCCTAGTATGCGGCCCTTTATACAGGGTGACTTCGAAGTTGAGTCATTTATTTTAACAGTGAGTAGATCTGATCAAAAGAAATGTTTTTTTCCTTTACCATTTTCCTGGTAAAATTAAAGTAACAAAGTTATAGCCCTTTGGAAGTTTGAGTACCGCCCTGTCTCAATAACAATATTATGTGGTCGTGTTTGGCGACAATGGATATAATCCGCCGTATCGGTTCATCGCATCGGAAACAAAAAAGCGAAAGAATTTGGAACGATGTTTTTACAGGTATCTCATTCATTTGTATACAGTTAGTGTCAGTGAATAGTGGTTATGTGTTGCGTGGCTCAAACGAAATAAAAAATGGCACATGTTTATGTGGATCGGTTTCCCAATCGAGTGCAACCAACCCCTCGTGCCTTTGTTAATGTAGTACAACGGGCTTGTGAATCAGGTGACTTAAGACCTCACAGGGGACCTCACGATCAAATACAGGTCCGCACTGAAATACTTGTCGGGAGGATACTTTATAAAACAAGGTAAATTTTTTTTTTATTTTTTTTTATTTTTACACACATATTTTGGTTTATCTTCCTTCTACAATCATTATCTGAAAATTAATGACTCAACTTCAAAGTCACCCTGTATATGCATTATGCACGCGTAAAAAAACGCGGTAGTTGGGATACACCGCCGGTTGTGGTCCACCTCTTCTAACCATGTACTCCCAATACATGCGAGCAGCTGCTCGAGCATTTCCTAGGGCAGCACCATAATAATAATGCATTTCTGCATAATCCCGTGGATAATATGATATGATTCTACTCAGATGCCAAACGTTGGATACACATTCTGCGCTGGACCATTGCCTGACTTAGTAATTTTGATCGGACCAAAGATTGAACGCTGTTTATTCTACATGGATTGAAATAGTTCTTACAATAAAATAAATAATGAAATACAACCTCAAATTTTTTTACCGCCCTCCAAAGTTGAGGGATGGAAGAGATTTTTCACAAAAAAGTGAATTTAAGATTTTTTGAGTTGATTTCTAATAAGCTCTGTCAAAAAGTAACACAACCATTGCTAAAACTAACGATTAAGCGCACCTCAGAAAAAACACCCTTATTCTATTGGTTTAGTTGTAATTGCGACTGAAAGTTCAATATCTCGTTTTTTCCGAAATTTCACAAAATAAGCTCTGTTAAAAAGTGATATAACCATTGCTAAAACTAACCATGTATCTCATCTCGGAAAAAAGTCACAGCTCTGAACCTAATGGTTTAGTTGTAATTGCGATTGAGTATTCATTATCCCGTTAAACTATAAAATTTCAGACCACACATATAGGGGTTCGTTCGATAAGTTTTGGTGCCCTCTATCACCTGACTTCCGTTGATCCACTACTAACTTTTCATCCTGTATATATAATCAAAATTTGAATTGAATTGAAGTTCAGGAAGATGTAATGTAGGAAAAGCTGTTCTTTTCAGATCTCTCTTGGTTCCAGGCACTTGTATCACTTTCCGAAAAATGTAAATCATGCACCAAATGTCTTTTGTAAATATGTTCGTTACTTTTATTGTCCAAAACTGTATTTCGCACTTGCTCAATCCATTTGTTAAAAAGCACGGCATCATATTTTGGAAACGTAGGCCTTTTACTGATTGTATCAGTACAACCCGGCACCACGCACCTTTTAAATCCCCGCCTTTGATACGCCTCCATTACAAAAATTAAGTGTTTAAATTTAAATTTAGTTTAACGCTCAATAGGTATCAGTACCACCGACGCAAAACTAAAAAAAATGCCGACACCGCACAAAATTCAACTTTCAATTCAAAATTACGAATACATCAACGTCAAAGCATCTAACATTGGACTGTCAAAAAGAGCGACGGAAAAATCCAGCATCAGCGCCACTCTGTGGTTGTACTCCGTTCTAACTATACAAGATTATTTGGTTACCTACTAAACATACCTTCGAAGTTACACTTTGACAAATCTAGCTTGGTCTCCCAAGGTCAGATGCGCGGTAGATACGGCGGAATGTAGTGGGGACACCCCAGTACAAACTAGCAGCGATCAAGGCAGCATCGTGGGTGCAGCACCAGTAAAAAATTTTAATTGCGATAGCTATAGGTTAATTTAATGTATACTCGAAGTTTCTGAAAAATTGAGAGTCAAAGCCGAGAAATTGTTGCTTCGGTATTGAGATTCATGCAGAATGAAGCTGAAAATGCAGTGGCTGTTCCTTTACAGAGCGTAAATATAATTACGATTACAATAAATTACGATTACTATTGCGATTATTACCATGATTTTGATTATTATTATTATCACGTATGTGAGATGGAAATGTACGTGTGGTACAGGCGATTACCATAATGAGATGAATTTTCAGGATTATAAAAAGTGGTCGAAAGAAAATTTAGTTCCAAACCTACCTCCCAAAAGCATGGTTGTTATAGGCAACGCACTGTATCATAATAAACAAACAGAAAAAAGCCCAACTTCCTCAACAACCAAAGCAGAAATGGCTTCTTCACAGAAATATCTTTTTTTACGGACGACATGCTTAAGCCAGAACTGGACAATTTGATAAAACTGCATAAATGCCTGCTTATTAGAGTTTGCAATAGATAAAATTCCGCATGATGCTGGGCACGATGTATTAAAATTGCCACCCTATCACCCCGACTTGAACCATTAGAACTGGTATGGGCAGCAACGAAATCTCACGTAGCATGTCTTAATATCGATTTTAAATGTTCTGCTGTTTTAAAACAATGCGATGAGTTTTTTAATACATTTGGGGGTGATGAGTGGAAAGCGAGATGCGAACATACAATGAAGCTTGAAAAAGAATTTATAGAACGCGAGCTCGCGGATGATAGAGTTGTGGATGAATTCGTTATCAATTTAAATCAAACTGACAGTGATAGTGATTTTTTGAAAGATGTAGATTCAGAAGGAGAAGAGGAAGATAGCAGAATTTTGGGTGTAGAATCAGTAGGAGACTCTATAGTGTGTGAAACCAATTCTCATAAGACGTACATCAATCTTTAAGGCTGATGATGATAAATGAAAGTGTTTGCAAATTCATTCCTGTGAGATATGTGTAAAATTCTCTAAAGGTGCTGATAGTTTGGATAGTAAACTGTTGATCCATTTTAAAATTTTCGAAAATGATAACAGAATCTTTGGGGATTAAAACCCCCACCTGAAGCTTTTTTGTATCATGTTTTTCGGTTATTATTTAGTTATTTCCTTATTTGATAAATTAAGCTTAGAACAGGGCATGTCTCATAAATTGTGGGACATTATAAAACATATAGGGTTTCAACATCCTGGTACACAATTTACTGTTTTCTAAAAAGATCTAAACATTAGGCTCAGAAGCGATGAGGCACGTTTTTTATGAAGGGTTTTCTCCCCTATTCAGCTAGATTCAATGTATATGCGACCATCAATCAATCCCTTAATGAAGGACTTGCATCCCAACATTTTTTCCGTAAAGTTCTAGTGAAATGGCAAATTCGGATGCCTTTTATAAATTTCTCCCAGTGTAAGCGAAGTCAAGGGGTTGTCTACGAAGGGCGAATTGTGATCGTAAAATAGGTAGCCTTTCATCAAATTAATGAAATAACAGAAATTGACACGCTGTAACTGAACTTGCCGCGCCGACTGTACTTCTATATCCATCGGCTATTAGCGCTTCTCTCAGACATCCACCCTCTCCCTCTGTTTTCTGTGCATCTCGCGGCTCAAGCTGGATTTGCCGACGTGTACTCATTTAACTTTATTTTATAAAGTAGGTGTTATGAGACCGGCCCGACAGCCATGCGCAGTGGAGTACTTTATCTCCGTCACCGCCAGGTGTGAAATTCGTGCGGTCATCCGATTCTTGCACGCAAAAACGTTTCCATCCATAGAAATTCATCGTCACTTGAGTGAAGTGTATGTGGAAATATGAATACTAAGTGACATATAAATCCGAACACCCAGTTTAAATGGTTTTATTTTAATAAAAGTTGGTGAATGTATTTATCTTACTGTAAATAACAAGTGAACAAATTTTCAGCCTTATCAGTTGGACATTTCGGTTTTTATACTGCTTTTTTTAATTCACTAACGCTCTAAAAATGAATATTTCAGTCGCAGTAAAGAATCAACGTTGGCGGATTTTGGTTCTTGACATCCTTTACCATCGGTTTCGATGCCTAGAGTACGGAGACCTGTACGATTTCGTCAACTTAGTGAGTTTGATAGGGGCCGTATAGTGGGACCTCGGGAAGCTGGACTTTCTTTTCGGGCAATTGCAGTTAGAGTGCAAAGAAGTGTAGACACTGTAGTTAGGTGTTGTCAGGCATGGCTTCGAGAAGGCCGTACGCAAAGAGCAAGGGGCACTGGACGCCGCCGTAGAACAACAGACCGTGAAGATCACCGCCTAAGATTATTGGCCTCAAGGGACCGTTTCTCCACTACCAGGTCCATTGCAAATGAATGGTTTGCAGAACACGGAAGACCTATTGGCATGCGAAGTGTTTACCGACGAATGAGAAGATTTGGCTTGTTTTCATACCGGCCACACTGGGTCCTCCCTTTAACTCGATAACACCGACGTAATCGCCTTGAGTGGTGCAGATAATGGTCACTCTGGGATCAGGAATGGAACAGTATTGTCTTTAGTGACGACTCTCGATTTTGTTTAGGCATGCACGATGGTCATGCCAGGGTTAGAAGGCGACGTGGTGAAAGGAGGAATCCACAGTTTTTTGTTGAAAGACATGTTCATCACACTGTTGGAGTTATGGTTTGGGGTGCTATAGCTTATGGTTCCAGGTCATCTTTAATCTTCATCAGAGGTAACATGAACGCGCAGCGTTATATCCACGAAGTTCTATAACGCCATCTTTTACCCTATCTCGACACCCTGGCAGATCCAACTTTCCAACAAGATAATGCCCGACCACATGTTGCAAGAGTCACAATAGACTTCTTTCAACATAATGATGTCACATTGTTACCATGGCCACCAAGATATCCCGACTTATCCCCAATTGAGCACGTGTGGGATATGATGGGTAGGAGATTGCTCAATTTGCAACGTCCTCTTCAGACTCTAGAAGCACTTCGAGAGGAGTTGGTGGTTGCCTGGAATGAGATACCACAGGAGGACATTGACCACCTGATCAGAAGCATGCCTAGGCGCGTTGGAGAATGCGTAGCACATCAGGGTGCATCCACACATTATTAAAGGTCAAAGGGCTTTAAAACAGTGCAATCATTTTGAAATTTTTATCATTTACTTATTATGCTTCATTAAGTACTTATACAAAATTTTATTAAAATAAAACCATTTAAACTGGGTATTCGGATTTATATGTCACTTAGTATATAAGCAATCAGCATGTTCTTAAATGGTGAAGAGAGTGCGCCGACAACCACACGAACATCCACGATGAAGAACGAAGCAGGCGGTCTTCGATCTAGGAGGAAGTTGTGGCGACGATTGAGCAAATCTTGCTCGAAGATCGGCGAATCACGACTGAGATTTGAGGCTTCTGAAAAAGCTGAGACGGGCAATCCGAAATTTTCGTATGGGAAAGCTTACCAAAGCGTAAGACTGCACCACAAAATGCACAGCCTCATGTCTCACAGCCCTGACAAAGCGTTTTCGAAATTGACGGAGCACCTAGGCGATTTTTGAAGCGGGAGTACAAAAGCGGATGTTACGTCTAAAAAATGCCTAGAAAAAATTATGACTATAGAGAAAAATAGCTTAAAGATCAACGTTTTCAATGGTACATTCGTTTAAAAAAACCCATGAACCTAACAAAAAATGTGGGAATCTCTTGAAACAATCCTCGTATCTCAATTTCGACATTTTTCGCGATAGGAAGCAAAAACATCATTTCAAAATGTGTACCTCTGGTTCTATTTTCCTCTGCAAATGTTCTTAACCACCTAATTGACTTCTCAAAATAGGTGATTAAGCGGTAAACCCTTATTGATATAACAACCCTGGGTGGTCGTTAGAATATCGGCGTTATTTTACCCCACGAAAAGACATGTACAAATATTTTTGTTGGAGTTTAATTGAGAACTTGATTGTAAGCGTCACGCGATACTAATGTAACAGTTTTACAGCGAGTGACAAGAACGCGGTTAAAAACGGTGACCACATTTAACTTTGCTTTCAATACACAAAAAAGTAGATTGCCACTGTATTTTTCACACATGAAAAACAAGAATATTTATTTGGTTAAGCCCAAATGTAAACATGCAGCAAAAAAAAACAGTTAACTTAGGGCGAGGAAAATCTGGCTGAAAGTTAAGTGCTATCATATATCAGTTACGATTTGATCTTTTTTATCACTGCTGGAGTATTCAACACAAATGCGCTTACAGATGTTACAGGATATGTGTTGCCGTTTCGATTGTACTTCGCGTAAATTTGACCACATATCTAAAAGTTTAAGATTGTTACAATGGCTTAATACCAATTTTTCTGATCCATTATTTTTACTTAACAACGCTGAACCGTGTATTACATTGCAAGAACTCTGTATACGAGGGATGTCTTATAAGTTTTGCATATGGAAATAAAACAACACGGTAGGTAGTTTTAAATGACCTTGTTGTTTTCCGAAGTATTCTCCACGAAGATTAATACACATCTGCATGCACTCGAACCAATTTTCGAAGCACTTATTCCACTCGTTTGCTGGCAGTTCCAAAATGGCATTTTTGAATGCGTCAACTGCTTCTTCTGGTGACTGGAACCTTTGACCACGCAGTCTGTCTTTAATTTTCGGGAAAGTAAAGAAATCGTTAGGACTTAGATCGGGACTATATGGAGGATGGTCCAATAATTCCACGTTTTCTTCCCTTAAAGACTGCCTTGTTTTTGGACTGTGTGCGAGGTTGCATTGTCTTGGTGGAGGATGATTCTTCTTTCGGGGTTGATTTTTCGAAGCTGGGCGATGACTTTTGGCAAACAAATGGTGGTATATCAATCCGCAGTAACAGTTCTTTGCTCATTAAGAGGAATTGTTGCAATATGACCCCCTTTTGACACAAATGTCGCGACCATCGACTGTCGTTTATTTTCTGGTTCATAACAGTAAACCCACGATTCATCACCACTAACAATGCTGTATACATTTTTTGAGTTTCCGGAATTGAAACTGTCAAGCGTTTTTTGACACCAATTAACCCTGGCTGCTTTCTGCTCTTCAGTCAACAGGTGGGGTATCCAACGAGGAACTAATTTCTCCTAATTCTTCATGTAAAATTTTTTGAATTGAGGTCTTTGAGATCTTCAAAGACGCCTCAATCTCGCGATATGTCACATGTCTACCTTCAATGATGAGTTTGCGGACAGCATCGACGTTTTCCTGGGTGACTGCCGCTTTTGGTGCACCCACCCTGCGATCGTCGCTAAGACTCACCCGTCCACGTTTGAAGTCTCCATGAAATTGTTGACTGATGTGGCGCTTCGTTGCCGAAAACAGACAGTAACTGAGCAAGGCATTTTTGTTGCGATAATTGTCTCTGAAAGTTGTAATAAATTTTTGTCCCGAAAATATTCTCGGTTGACTTCCATTTTTCTGGTGACACTTAAAAATTCACTGTACTGAGAACACTGCACGTATTGTTGTAAAACTTTGAATTTAAGTTTACTAAAGAGTGAGGTTAAGATTCAGTACTGACGTTCGATCCGCGCGGCCTACTATGTTTCTATAGGCAAAACTTAAAAGACATCCCTCGTACATAGTGTCAATATAAGATATCAAAATCATCTTACAACGCCTATGTATGTAACATCACTCTTTTGTACGACTTTCACGTATAATACAGTGTCCCTCTTCAACATTTATAGCAGAAATATTTATGTCTCAAAGCTTCCGTTTTAAACTGCATTTCAGACTTCATGTCCTAAAAATACAGCATAGGATCAATCAAAAAATGCCTTTGGTTCTAAATCATTACCACTTTTTTTCAAGTTTGAAGTTTCCTAGACATACAATAATTTGCTATATACGTAAAAATGTCATATTTGTATGTCAAATTGGTACTAAGCTTCAGTTTTAGCATTGCTGATGGTAAGAAAGCTTTTCTAAACACCGCCAATAAAGACGTTTATTATTACTCTTATAGAAATAATCTAAATAAAGTGCGTCTGCGATATTGCAAACTTTCTCTGTATTGAAGCCAGCCTGAATGGTTTCTTGATGATGCAAAAGCTATTTGATCTTATTCTTAACAAAGGTGCACACCAAACTGCTCCGAAAGAGAATCAGCAGGATGCCAATTATTCCCGTGGAGAGGATATAATAAGCGAATAGTGCCGTATCGCCAGGTGGTGTCGCCGGCATCCGTCGAATTTTGCAGATACGTGTCAGGATGGAACTTTTGTAACCAACTCAAAGGCCAAGCCGGAAGTGCTTACCAAGCTCTTTGCTGCCAACTCCCACATGGGTGCTGTTGTCCCTCGATATGAACAAATCTTCTAGTACGGACTTGATACCTGCCGTTGTACCGATGAAAAGTGCAGCGGAGCTGCGTAAAGTTATTTGGCATCTCTTCCACATACCTTACGAATCCACCACTAACCAGAAAGTTAGAAATTTACTCATGTGCAGCACATTCTAAAAGAAGGATCTAAGACCAACCCTTACAAATACAGGCCTACAGTATATTCAGATAAGAGATATACCGGACATAAACAAGACCACGTGATCATCGAACGCTGTAACATTCGGCAGGGACGTATTAAGAGTCACGCAGTACATATTTTAGATAGTAGATGCTGCTTTGCGTAACTTTGTAGTAAATTAGCACAATTCGATGTGTATACGATTGGTGATGGATATAGGATCATGTGGGAGTGGGGTAAGAAATATATAATGATGTAAATATACATAAGGGTTTCAAAATTTTCGCTTCGATTTCCAGCTTCGGATGCCGCCTAATGTTTGGTGAAATACAGTCGAATATAATCTCAAAATGGCGTTTAAATTAGCCTAAATTAAAAATAATCGTATATCTCTTAAAATTGCTTTTAGAATATTGATTAGTATATTTTTTGATTTCTAGGTAAATATGTAACCAAATTAAAACGTTCAAAACGTAAAAAAATGTGCATGGTTGAACATTGTCAGAAAGTAGATTCTTGAATAGGTTTTGCCAAAATGGGTTCAAAAATGTCAATAATTTATTAAAAAATACAGTAGCTTTATAATTACTTATAACTTACCGAATTTCATGAACGACATCTTTTATTGGAAAGATGAGCTTGATGAGCTTTCATCATCGCTACTGCCTGAAGCACCAACGTCAATAATGAATGGCTCGACTTGTTCCTCTAAAATATTGTCCAGTTCCCACATTCTCTTTTCAACTTTGTCTTTCACGTGCTTTATACAGTTTTCCCATTTTTGCGCTGTTATTAATTCTAGTGCTTCTTTGAAAAGTCCTTTGAGGTCACAAAATTTAAAAGTTGTATTGTGCTTAGCTATATAATTTTTAACCTCTGCCGATATGAGCTCAATGGGATTGAGCTCGCAATGGTATGGAGGTAAACGGAGCACAGTTTTATTTTGACTTGCTGCCATTTCGTCAATGGCGTATTTTTGATATTCCGCCTTGTGATCCTTGACAATTCTTAATAATTGTACTTTCAGCATTGCTTCTTCAAAGTTGATATTTTTCGAGCGCAGCCAATTTTGAACATCAACTTTCCTTGAAGCCGTTGTTGGGACCTTCTCCATTCTTCGAGAATGATAAGGCGCATTATCCAACACAATTACTGCGTTTTCCTCTAAGTTCGGTAAAATTTTTGAAAACCACAGTTCAAACGATTCGCCATTCATTTCCTCGTGGTAATCTCCAGTTTTCTTAGACTCAAAGCACCACAGACCGTCAACAACAAATCCATCCTCACTGCTAATATGGCAGATAATGAGCCTTTTCCCTTTACCTGGAAATCGAAGTACTAACTGGTGTAGATTTATTTCAATAAGCGAACCTTTTTCAAATGTTTTTATCACATTCAGCGAAAAAACATTGAGACATGAGTATCAGATTGCTATAATTGGGATTATTTAGTCATATTGAAAGAAAGAATATTGAACGTCGTATGATTACTCAGCGCTTCACAATTTAATTTAAAGTTATAAACCTTTAAAAATGAATGATCAGGAACCTGAAATACGCGCAAATATTAATATTAACAAATTATAACTTTATAAAGCTTAAAGTATGAATTAAAATGATTAGAAATATTAGGAACGGTACACAATATAAAACTTAGTAACTTTTTTTAAGTTTATAATATTCGACATATTTTAAGATTATATTAAAAAATTATTGAAATATCGAAAACACATAAAAACATGGCTTAAAAAAGTTCTCACAAATGAAAATGACAATAAAACATCCACGCATTTTATCGAAAGTTATAAAAGTTTTGTTACTTGTAATATGTTTTATCTGCCCCCTGGAATTAATGTTTAGAACCTTGTTCCCAAGGTTTGAAAAACATCCGATTGTTGTCTATTACTCGTATTTACCTGCTGGATTTTTTAATCCGGTGGACAGTCCATCTAGAAAGGCCCTCCGGGATGAAGTTACAGAATCATCAACCCATACTTTACTTGTAGTGTGTCCTGCGTTTACCCACGTTTCATCAAGGTAATAAATCTTCCTGTTTTGATTTCTATATTTCCCAATTTTTGTTAAATAATCCCTCCTCCATAGCACAATTTCTTCTCTATCCAGTAGTAAACTATTACGACCCCGTTTTTTCCATTTGAAATTTAAATGCTTCAGTAACGCATGGAAAGTTGATCATTTGAAATTTGGCAACGTTGTATCTCCATTTACCTCCTGCAGTACTTTATCTATAGTAGGTATTTCATTCCTAAAGAAGAATTCATGCACTTTCCTCCTAATCGCATGCTTATCAGCTTCATCCAATGATTTAACAATACTTTTGCGATGTTTACTGGTCATTGGCTCAGAAAAGGTGTGATTTTTTTGTATTGTCTTAACACATTAAACACTGATGCGCGACACACCCCAACTTTGTGAGAAACCTTCACAACAATTTCTTTGATGGTTGATGCCTCGTTCTCCTCGCGCTCGATCTTATATATATTCAAAATGACCTCTTTCATTTCTGCACTCAGGTGTCTTTTTTTAGAGCGTTTCCTAGGTGGACTACAGGAGTTTACAACTTCATCGGCAGTATCTGTACTACTGGGCATTTTGCGCAAGCAGTTGATAACAATAACAATCAATAACAAGGTATAACAATAACAACGACAAACTCAACAACTTAATAAGATAACAAACGAAAACGTCCAAAGAAATATCAAATTGCAATGATGCACACGACATACGTAACACGTCTGAACCTGAATGTGAGTCTGCCTTGATACGACTGCTCTGCCGCTCGGCATAGGCATTTAATTGCGAATTGACCAATGAGGGCTCCTGTTTTACGTCGAGACGGCGGCGTTAGCGTGAAAATCACCCGAACCTTTTGTTTACATCCGGTCTATCTCTTATCTGAATATACTGTATAGCTCTGATTTCTGTTAGAAGGTGATGGAAAGAAGCTTCAGGCAGTACGGTTTCCGGTACCAGCGACCCACTAGGGACCTCCTATCTTACCTCACGCAACTGTAGAGTAAGCTCATCCAGTCCCATGGAGAGGCTCAAGTCGTTGCTCTTGATATGACGAAAGCGTTTGATCACAGCATGTCATGCTGCTAACTACCATCATACGGCATCCCAGGCAAGCTTTGCAGATGCCTGACTGACTTCCTCTCTGGCCGCCAGAAATTTTGAGATCGCTACGTGTCAAATGTAGTAATTGTATAAACCTGATTTACTGACTCGATCGATCTATTGAATATTTTTGTTATACACATTATGAGCTAACCTTTTCCTCAGGCTAACTTGTGTATTTCATGAACTGCCACTTTTTTTAGTTTAGATTCCTTAGAAGAGCATGCTTATTACGTAAACGAGCAGGTTGCTGCTTTTTCTCCGGAGTTATACAGGGTGTGAAGTTAGTAGTGGATCAATGTGGGCCTCATACCTATCGAATGAACCCCTATATGTCT